CCAGAACGGGCTGGTGTAACGCTGATCATCATTGCCGAATATGAAGAGATCCTTGTACTTTGAGTTACGAATCGTGGGTCCCAAGTTATCGGCCACCCATATGGCCTGTGTCTGTGGTGTCCAGCCCATGCTCATGAACTTAACAAAGACCATGAAGAGTATTCCGTTCATTGGCTCATTTCCAGTGGAAATAGCCCAAATCGGCAGATCATTCTTCTCCATCAAGTCGATCCACTTGAGGTGATAGTCGGCCCAGGTCTGGTAGTATTGTTGCTTTAAACGGCCAAAGCCCGTCCACCTATTGTTGGTCTTCATCCACGGCGGTGCGCTCCAGGCAGCTCCCTTGATACGCAGATTTTTCACCCCAGAAACTTCCTTCAGTCGCTTAATCTGCGCCAAGCGTAGAACATCCCGATGGTCCAGCTCATCCATGCCAGTCAGTACAGTTTCGTTTTCGGGCTTCTCGTTATAGGCCCAGGGTGCCAAATCGAAGTCACAACCTCCGATTGATATGCGCAACAAATTGAATCCCAATCCATTTGGGGCATAGTAGGACTTGTAGAGATGGTCTTGAATGTCTTGTGCTTTGTAGTTATCCACCAAATACGATACGGCTCCCGTGAAACTGCCGCCAAATCCTTCAATTCTTTGGTACAGCTTGCTGCGATCCAACTTGAGCTTTACAGATCTCGTTATAGGTTTTGTCGTCGAATCGGTTTGGCTGAATATTTTGCCTAGAGTTTGATCCATTAGCCGAGATAATATCGTGACATTTCTGGCAGCGGTTTCGGCCTTAGGCTCTTCGTAATCCTTTATAATATACTTATCCTTTGCACCAAAGTTTCCTTTGCTCACTTCAAATCGAAGTCCCTTCTTACTGCTGGAAATCAGCGCAAATTCCTCATCCTTGCTCAGGGTAGGATTGTCCAGATAATCACAGTAGTCCGACGTGCACACGCACACTTTGCCATACTGTGCATCTCTTAGCTTACAGGGAACGGTCTCGGCCTGGCCACCTGTTTAAGCACTTCATACAACAGGTGTTCCTATTGATAGCTGACTGAATGTGGCTAAGACTTACCGATTACAGCTATCAGCAGCACCAGCAGCAGCTGCAGCAAAGGGCCAAGGAACAACCAGTTTTTGCACTTCAGCATTGAATGACCGATCGTCCGAGGTGAGGCTCGTTAACTAATTCAATTGCTTCAAGCAACTTGCTGACCCAAGTTGTTTTTCGTTGGCAGCTAATCTTAACAGTGAATGGGATAAGAGCTAAGCTGTTAAATAGTTGATTACGGCCTATTTATATACTATCTACCAATGAACTAATCGGTAATAATCGCCGAATTCTTTGTTTTAGTAGCTTAATTTGGCTATATCATATGATATTTATATATTATATAATTACAAAATGTTTAGCTGATTATCGATCTAATTGATTGTTAAGCTGCAGTAAACTTGGTTGGTTTCACTTAGCGCGAATGGCCTATCTTATCAGAGATATGCCAATTTAACTATAATAAGTTAAGATTAAATAAACCAGGTGTCCGATATACAATAAATAAAAACAAGCTCTTGAAATTGAAATTTATTTAATTTCATGATAAGATGTTTGCTATAGATAATCGATCACCCATGAATTCGCTTAGTAATTGAGTAAGTCTCTTCGCTATTCAGTTGCCTAAATTTGCTAATCCAAAATATATAAAAAAAAAAAAAAAATAAAAACAGAATTATCGAAATGTCAACCTCGAAATTTTTCGCAATCTCCTGTTTTGGAATCTCCATTTTATCGAGCCAACAATTGTGCGTCAATTCGTGAGAAATTCATGTTGTGGCAGCACCACTTGTGGGACTAAATTTAAACTGTGAAATGCTCAATGAAATGGAAAATCATTCGTAAGTCTGAAAAATCTATAGCGCGCTTATCAGGGACAAGGCATGGTCGCAGGCCTTCGAGTCGTGGGAACTTGATGCGGTTTTTGTGGGTTTGGCGTCGAGGCGATGGATGTGAAGAAACAACCATAGAAACACTCTCTCTGTTAAGCAGCAACATGACATACAACAACAATAGCAACAGCAACAGCAAAGGGGACCTTAGTCGGAGAGTGCATTACTAAAAGTTACCCTGTCTTAGCTAGAGGGAGATATTTTTAAAAGAATATTTTATTTATTTTTTTGCTTCTTTTTTGTAAGTAGGATACTTTTTGGCAGAGTTTTTCTATCGATATATTAATATATATAATTATCATAATGCTTTTTAAATGAACGGCTAATAAATAAATTTAAATATTGTATATTCAATTTTGATGGCGCGATTGGCTCGTGTGCCGAGTATACTCCATGCCTGTCGTGCATCACATGTTGAGTTCAGATGATTTACTTTGCAGGCTGTGCGCTCGTTAATGGGGACTCGTTTGGCCACTCGGGTCGTTCGGGTCTGCTGTTGCTTTCAGTAAAATCGGTCGGCTGCTTGTTGCAACCTTTCAATAGCCACAAACACGTTGAGGCAGCAACACCACCTGTTGGTCAAAGGGCGCTAAAATCTTTGTCCTTCACACAACTAACTACGCTGAGTCAGGGTGTGTGTGTGAGTGACTGCGTGTGTGTGTGTGTCAGCCAGTGTGTGTGAGTGCGCCCGCCTTATAATTGTGTAGCATATTTTGTGGCGCCTCGGTTATTGGGCCATATGGCAGTGTAACTGTGTTTTCTGTGCCTCTGTGTGTGTCTGTGCTGCATATTGATTTCAATAATTGGCGCGCTAGTCATGTCGGAGAAGTCAACAAGTGGCGAGGCTGCGGCCAAGCTAAACATCTCGGCCAGACGCAGCTCCACCCAGCCCTCCAATGTCATTGAGAGTCGCTGCCTCATTGCCGCAATTGTGTATATAGCTCTGCTGCTGGACAATGTGCTGCTGACCGTGATAGGTAATGCCAATTATATGATAACATATGATAAGAGCTGATAAAGAGGAGAACAACATCGATTGCAGTGCCAATTTTGCCCGACTATCTGGCCAGCCTGGAGCCGCCAACGTTTGAAGGCTACCGCATCGAGGAGGGGGCCCTGCCATCCTCGACCCCTGCCCAGGCCCATCAGATGGCGCAACGCAACGAGGAGCCGACACAGTTCTACATGACCAAGCACCCGATACCTGGCAAATCGATGGTTAATTTCACAACGCTGCATCTGCTGACGTCCACGACGGTGACAACGCTGCTGCCCAGCGACCAGTTGGGCGGCACTAATGCGACCGCAGCCACAAAGGTCGATAGCCACAGCATGGCCAACAGCAATTTCAATAGCAATAACAACAGCGTGGGCCTGTCGCGCGAGAACGGCTCCATTGGGCTGCTGTTGGCCATGAAAGCGCTGGTCCAATTGGTTTTCAATCCCATTGTCGGCAATCTGTCCAGCAAGTGTGGCTATCGCCTGCCCATTGTGGTGGGCACTTGCTTCCTTTTGATCTCCTCCCTCGGTAAATGCTAGAGCTTGTAGAGCTTGTAGCCGTAGCCATTTTAATGACATGTTATGTTTACCTTTCAGTGTTTGCCGTGGGCGAATCTTATTGGATGTTGTTGCTGGCACGCGCCATTCAGGGTGTGGGCTCCGCCTGCATTGGGGTGTGCGGCATGAGTCTGGTGGCACAGCATTATCCGGAGGAGGCGCGCCGCTCCAAGGTCATGGGCATCGTTCTGGGCAGCATTGCATTGGGTGTATTGATAGGCTATCCGTTTGGAAGTATTCTCTACGATATGGTTGGCAAATCGGCGCCTTTTATAATACTCTCGACCGTCATATTTCTGAGCCTGGGTCTGCAGCTGCTCACCATGGATCTGTCCGTGCAGCCGGAAGTCTTGGCCTTCGAACAGAGCACCAAATGGCGCGCGTTGCTCGAGTGCAAAATGATTTTGGCCATTGTCATCGCCATTTGGCTGTCCACGTCCACAATGGCCATACTGGAGCCGTGCTTGCCCATCTGGCTGATTCAGTATCTCCATCCGAACAAGTGGCAATTGGGCACCGTTTTCATACCGGACTCCGTGGGCTACTTTGTGGGCACAAACTTTTTCGGTAGCGTCGCCTTTCGCTATGGCCAGCTGAAAGTCTCCTGTCTTAGCCTGCTGCTAGTGGGCCTTGCGTCAATTCTGGTGAGCAATTAATGGTCTGTATTCCATGTATGGTATATGTTAAATCCGTGCATTTGCAGATACCCAGCGCCACAACTGTGGCGCAGCTATTGCTGCCCCACTTTGCTCTGGGCCTGGGCATTGGGGTGATCGATGCGGCGTTGGTCCCACTCTTGGCTACTTTTGTGGATGCGACACTGGCGCATGATGACAGTGGTGACGCTAGGAGCACTAGATCCAGCTACGGCACCGTCTATGCCATACAACAGACCTCCGTAAGCTTGGCGTATTGTCTGGGTAAGACTTTGCTTTCGCTCTCTCTCTTGGGAGAGTTATATAATCATACACCACTTTTTCCATGCTCGCCAGCTCCTTTGATTGGCGGAGAGTTGGCACAGAGCTTTGGCTTTGCCTGGCTGATGCGTATCGTGGGCCTATTCAATATACTGTACGGACCAATATTAGTTTACATATATCAGAAATATGATCCAAAGGTACGAGGGTCATTGATCACTCCCACTAAAGGACTGACATTCACTCTTCTCTGGTTTTCATTTGCATGCACAGCGAGTCAGAGAGCAGCAGAATGAGCTGCTTATGCAGAGCAGTGGGCGTGGCTCCCGCTATAAGCAGCTGTACAACTCCATGGACCTGGAATAAGCACTGCAATCAATTGAAGCCGAAGCAATACATTTCGTACACTAATCACTCATCGCCATCAAATCAAGCATTAACTTAGCATAAATAACCACATATATAAATGTATTTCCATTTGATTTTCTCCCAATTACTTGGCCTTGACTTAAACTTCACGTCGATCCGCCCTAGACGAGAATGGGGGCTGTGTTTTATCCTCATTACACTTTTGGAATTCATTCGGAACTCAACTCAAAAGAGTTCAAAATTATTTGGAAATTGTTTTTCCAATATTGCAGTAAAGTAACGTAAAAATGGCGCGTGTGCCTTTAGGTGAGAAATATTTGTAAATTACTTGAGTGAACATTGGTAATCCTAACGTTTTCTCCTCGGCAGGCCCTGGTCCCGGCGCTTACGGTTTGCCCCCAACTATTGGGTACGAGAAACATGATAACCGTAAGCAACGCATGCCCCAGTATTCCTTCGGAATCCGTACAAACATATCGGGCAAAGATGCGGGTCCAGGTCCAGGTGCCTATCAGGTAGACAAACTAACGCGCTATGGCAAGGGTGGCGGCTTGGAATACACGATGGCCCCGTTGACCCAATTCAAGGGTAAGCCCTCAATGATCTCATGCGTACTTCGAGCAATTATAGACGCTTCATTCAATTGCAGACAAGGGTTTCGGCCCTGGCCCAGGCGCCCACGATGTCCATCTAAAGCCCATGTTCAAAGGTACGGAGGCTCCTGCATATTCGATGGCCGCGCGTCACAACTTCAATTTCAAGAAGTGTGGACCCGGTCCCAGTGCCTATATGTATGACATCAACACCGTAAAGCAGGCTGCCCCTAAGTACAGCATGTAAGTGGATTACGTAGGACTGCATTTCTCGCAGCAGATTTACTAATTTGTGTCATTTGATCAGGGGCATACAAACCAAGGTTTTGGGCAAGAACAACTCACCTGGTCCAGCTGCTTATGGTGCGGGTGATCTGAATCTGAGACTGAATCGGGCACCCGAATATTCGATGAGACCCAGGTGTGATATAGCAAGTACTTCCGTGGGTCCCGGCCCCAATTATTATGACTTGATGTACTACCGTCCTGGAAAGAATAGGGGTGCCTATTCGTTCGGTGTGCGCCATTCACCGTTTGCGCCACCCATGATCGTCAGATGTGATAATATGTAAATGTTTGCAATATTGGAAAAATCTATTTTAATGTGGAATTACAATAGTAATAAATTTTATTAAGTGTCCGTATATGTCTAAAATATTGATTTTATTCATTGCCTATCGGGTGTATATAAGACAAGAACATCTATGATGGTTCAATGGTTTATTTCCTAGCGAGTTTATAAAAAATAAAAATAATAATGAATGAAAGCATTTCCCTGCTGCTAGAGCTTCAATTTAAAGAGGTGCTGAAGTTGCCTTTCTTGGGTATGC